TTTTGACATTTAAATTATCTTCATTTATCTCATAATCTCATATTATTTGTATTGTATTCTGCTCTGTATTGTATAGTTGTCTGGTTAAGTTATTTATATTATACAAAATATTGTAATAATAATATACAGCAAAAGAATACAAATTTCAGAGTTAAGTAGTAATATGATAAATATTATATAAGTATGAAATTCAATCAATTTATTTATATTGAGTTGAAGTTAAGGGAATTTTGTTTAGTCTTTTCGAGTGATTGATTGAACTTTGTTTACAAATATTTACCAAAAAACTTGCAAACATTTTGTTGAATGAAATTTATTACGGAATCAAATGTGGGATCAGTTTTGAGACAATTCTTATAAATAGACCATAAGTTATATCACTATTATATTCACAACACATTAGCTGTCATAACACCTTTCGATTTAATTATAATCTATTGAATAAAAGGATCCAAAAACACAAATTTATCTAAACTTTTGAATAAACCCTCCTTAACAAAATAGTATGAAATATTATAAATACTAAACTAGTAACAATATAAATTATATACAAAATGTAATATACCGTAATTAAGTCACGTGAAAGCTATCAGCTTTTTTGTACATAATATTACTATAGAATCTATGGTATAGATCATTGTATGGCATAAATAATAAATATTCATAAATAAATAAATAAATGTCAGTATATCCACATGTGTACCGCAAATACTTAAACATAACATAACCTGATAATAAATTTCCTAATTGTTATAAATGATAAATATTTGTAATAAACACTTAAACGCAACGTTAGTCGAAAGCCTTTGAAGTCCTTTTCATAATGAACTTCATATAAACTATATATAAGACTATGTATAATATATAAACTATAATTAATGAAATAAATCATCAGAATAAGACTATAACACAGTTCAGTATAATAATTAGCCAGTCAACTTAGAATAGACTTTATTTATAATTTAAATGCAAATTATATAACATAAATGTCAAACATGGATTTATTTTCGTGCGTTATTTATATGAATAAAACCCTTATTTATGTGACAAATAATCATTTATGTCATAAAAGTTAAAAATTTAAAGCAATGTCATTTTTTTGACCAAAGTTAAACTCAGTGTTGGCAACAGTATAAGCAAACCTTACAAATTTACACCGAAATATACTGTATATTAATTATTTATTATTACAGTAGAAATGAATTAAATAAACGAAATATAATTTATATATAAGTTAATTAAAAATAAAATAAAATAAAGAGAAAATAAATAAGGTGCAAAATGTATGTTTCACCCGATTAGTCTACCTAGACTATTTTTAGACTACTGGGTGTCGACACCACCCCTCGCCCTATGGCTCCATGCGATCACATGTGTCAACTAGTTTAGACTTTTTCAGTCTTTGTGTTTAATAATAGTTTTTACAAATTGATAGAAAAATGAGTTTTCATTGGATTTCAGTCTATTTAATGTGGACTCAAATTCTGTATCGTTTGCCACAATATTCCTATCGATAGACCACTCGTTATATTTCTGCAACACTTCACTACATTCCGGGCGTTTAAGCCACTTGTGGGTCATCATTGAGTCCAATAGAGTTTGTAACCGATGTGCCGACGAGTTTAGAAGAGTATGATGCCGACGAGTTGAATACGGTTGTGGACTAAATTAATAAACATATTTATATTTTCAAAATTAACATTAAGGAAAATGTTATACCTATCTAAATCAATAACGAACAAGTCCACGTCAAATATTTCACCGCCAATTAGTGCCAGACTATAAATATCTGATTTATGACCATATTTTTTACCCTCACCAATTTCCGACGCATGGTATTTCAAGTCCCCGATATCTGCTGTATGTTTACGTGAAGTCTTGTAGTGAATGCGTTTGTCGTGAACTGTAGCCAAACCAAAGTCACATAACTTAAAAAACCTGCCGTTCCTTACGATGTGTGCAATTAATATGTTTTCTGGTTTAAGGTCTCTATGAATGACCGGAGGATTCAATTCATGTAAATATTGAACGCATTCTAAGATCTGACGGAATATTTCACACGAAATGAAATACTCGTATAAATCCATGGGATCTCCGCCTTGTCTCTCAAATACTTGTGGTTTTACTTCAAGAATATTCTGCAAACTATTGGAACAGAACTCCATTTGTATGTAAAGACATCCGGGTTCAAACCATGATTTGTGATATTTGACCACAAATTCAGACTTAACTTTTTCCAAATTCTTTACATCTTTTACTACATTTTCGGTTTCGTTTTCATCAAAATCTGTGAAAAATATAATTTAGATTCCTAATATTTATTTATATAAAATATTACCATTAAATTTAATGCATTTGACGGCAAATAACTGTCCATCAGATTTATGTTTTACTCGCCTAACGGTCCCAAAACCACCTGATCCTATAACCGACATCTCATCAAATGTTTTAGCATAATATTCAATGAAACTACTTTTATAATCATTTTCAATGTTAAATGGTTTGAATGAATTTGAGTGAATATTCTCTAAATTTGCTTCAATTCCTTCATATTTCGCATTAATATATTCCGCAAAAAACTTGTAATCATTTTGTTGAATGAGTTTTAGTGTGGAATCAAATGTTGAATCAGTTTTGAGATAATTCTTATTAATAGACCACTCATTATATTTGGCTAAGACTTGTGAGCACTCGGGTCTGTCTGTCCAGTGAGGGCCGGGTATGTGCGGGTGATTCCAGTTATAGTATGACATTGAATGCAATATTTCTGTTAACTTAAGCCAACATTTGTTCATAACTTCATTGTCTGAATACTTATGTAAACTACAGAATATATTCAAAATAAATATATAAAACTCAATTAATTATTAAATAATTTAAATATTAATTCACATTATCTTACGGTTTGTCCTCCAAATGAATCCCAAAAATGTTTTCAGCAATTTTAGCCAAACTGTAGACATCTATCTTATGGTTATAGACCACTCCTCGACCCACTTCTGGCGCCTGATATCTCAGATCTCCCTTATCTGACGAGTCCTGGTGAACAGTCGCCAAACAAAAGTTACCAATTTTGAAAAACCTGCCGTTCCTTACAGTCTTCGCCACTAATATATTGTCGGGTTTTAGGTCTCTATGAATGACCGGAGGATTTAATTCATGTAAATATTGAACGCATTCTAAGATCTCTTTGAATATATGACACGAAATGTAAAACTCGATTGAATTCATGGGTTCTTCCGGTTGTCGACCAAATACTTGTGGTTTGTGTTGAAGAATATTCTGCAGACTATCGGAACACAACTCCATAAGAATGTTATACACATTGTCTTCATCCCACTGATCAATATATTGGACACAATATTCTGACCTAACTTTTATCAAAATTTGCATTTCTCGCATACATTCCCGTAATTCATCACCTTTAAGTGTATTAATTTTGATAATTATAAATAATTTTAAATTTGACAAAACATGTTAACAAAATTTGATGATCTACGAATACAGTATAATACAATTTAATGTGGTTATACAAAATATATCTAAATGCCATTAAATTACCTTGGTATTTTATTTTCTTAACCGCATATTCTCGTCCATCGAATTTTTGTTTAACAACAAATACTTCCTCAAAACCTCCCGAACCTAATAAATGCAACTCTTTATATAAACGCTTGTATTGATTCACTTCGGAAACAACTATAAAACAAATTAAATTCATTCATTCATTTTTCTTAAAAAGATATCAAAAGTATGTACTCAAAGGGGACGGGAGAGTGCTTACCGTTGTTTGATAAATCTTGTATAAAAGAAAATACTTTTTCCAAATAATCCAAACATTTTGCAGTAAATTCTTTGCAATTCTTGTAATTATATTCCATATAATCACACAAATCAATGGTTTTATAAGTCATTAGAAATTCATTTGAGAAACAGTCGAAGGATTTTGTATAATTTGTTTCAATTATATTATCCTTTTGTTTGTCTGTAATCACAAATATTTTGCCATTCATTATAGCATATAACAGACACAGTTTATCCTTATGTGAGAAAAATGTATTCATTTCTGTAAACCTCTTATCAGTATTTAATTCTTTTGGTGATATTTGTATCAAATAGTCGTTGTTTTCATTCCTATATTCTCCGCAAAAATAAATAAATCCATCGTTTGATAAGAAGTAAGTGATGTAACCATTGGAACAGATAGTCTTAATACCAGTCATGTCTTCAATGAGTTGTGGTTTCCATATATTACCCGATGAATTGTGTCCCAAATTATACCAACCGTTTCGACCCCAACTAAACACCTCTCCCTTCGATGTGATGGCAAATGAAGAATAAGGACAACAATAAATGCTTTTAATTTCGTGATTAGGACTGAAATTCACTCGAAATATGGTTCCGTTTTGTATATCACTGTCTGGTCCACAACCTAACTGTCCGTACATATTAAAACCCCATCCATAGACAAAGCGATCACTCGTGAGAATCATTGTGTGATAATAACCACAACTTATTTGATAGATTGACTTATTTTCCATGTTTTCAGGATTAATAAGTTCTGGTTTTATAAATGGGAAATCCATATTCGGGAGTTCCAAACCTAACTGTCCCTTATTATTAAGACCCCAACCATAGAGGCAGTTGTGTTGAGTGAGGGCTAACACAAAGTCGTCTCCATTGAAGAATTGTGTGATATTCTTGTGGCGCAATCTCTCAATCTCTTGGATTTCACGGACATAGCGGTTGTGTCCCAAACCAAGAGATCCATAATAATTAGATCCAAAACCGTAAACCAAACCACGATTTGTAACAAACAATATATTATATCCTCTCTCGTCGTCGAAAACATGAAACAATTGAATCCATTTAATCATATTTTCTTCACTTTTATGTCTATTTTCGTCGACAAGTGTTTCATTGTGTGAATCATTGGACTCGTGNCATGAAACAATTGAATCCATTTAATCATATTTTCTTCACTTTTATGTCTATTTTCGTCGACAAGTGTTTCATTGTGTGAATCATTGGACTCGTGTTCCGTAGGCCTCACATCACTTGTATGTATGGATCGGCTATTACTGGACTCCACTCCCGATTGTTGTGGGCTTTTGTTTGCACTCATATTTAAACCCATATTTTACACACAATTAACAAATGATTGATTATTATATGCGTATAATCAGTGAATTATTTATATTAGAAATTATTAGAAAATATACACAAAACGCATTTTATATACTCAAGGTTAAGTTACGTAAACAAAATTCTACAGTAATTCAACACATATAACCCGGGTATACCTTCACTCTTACTAAACCGTTATAATTAGCTACTAGCTAATACAATTAAATCAAAACTAAATCACAAAATATTTAACACAAAAAAGTAATTAAAAAACTTTTCGAATTAACTTTTTATCCCTAAAAACAACTCATATATTATGTCCGGCCGTCTTATGGCAGTTAAGGTCAGCCTTTCCATCATATAAAATGTGGTCAACTCTTAGGTGTAGTGCCGGATGTGATGCAGTGATGCCGAAGTAGGCGCTCAACACATCGATGACACGATCACTGCCATCGAGGATATGATGAAGATTTTGTTGCTCTCATCCAATGTGTTGACGAAACGGATAATTGGATCCATTCGGTGATCATTATGTTGGCGAATGACCAGTGATTGGTGACTGGCGGACCGCTTATAGGATACCATTTTATCATTTGATTAGTCGCTGATATTATAATTGATTTCCGATTTTTTTGCACAAATATATTAGTTATTAGTTTCCAAACTAGTGATCCATACGACTATCAGACATATCATTGACTGAAACTCTAATATTAATTGATTATCAGTGTTTGATTGAATGTTTAGGTGTTTAGGTCAGGTACGCAAATATTTAGTTATACTAATAGGTGTAACAATATGTTTTACTTTTAATAAACTTTGTATTCAAATGTAAAATTAGAGTCACTTTTACTTATTATAATTAAATGAAAAGCGGTTAAAATGTGTATTAAACTTACTTAACATGTTTACTACTAAACTTGTTTATAGCAAACTTTGTGATAAGAAATTGTTTTCTAACACAAATTAATAACATTAATTTACATTTAATAGGCACTACTCGTACAGAATATCAGCTAATAAACTATTATTTTTAGCGATTCATTCATTCATTCATTCATTCATTATAATTATAATTATGAAAATCATACTTACATTTAGTGTCACTTACAATAGCAATAGAAATCCAACTTTTTATTAAAATATAATTTCCACCAAAACATTGAATATTAACTTTTCATTTCATAAATTCAATATTTGTTTAATGTTTGGTTCACTTTATAACTATTGTGCTCAATGTATAACCAGTATTGTAAGTTATATTTTTATTTTATGATTTAGTGTGCATATACCAAACATATACCAAACATAACACAATTTATTGACATTAACTATTGTGCAATTTAGTAGCAATATTGTAAACATTCACAAAAATATTTAACATAAACACAGCATACTTGCCATGCAATTAGAGTTTGAAATGTATTTTTACATATTATATAATAAACAGAATTTTAAGCATTTTTGTGGAGAGTATTGAATTTTAAATATAAACCAGAAATGAGCGCACAATCGGATTAATGAACTATTATTATGGCCTTATTTTCAACAATATTTTTGCAGCAAATTCTGTAAACAAATATGATATTCATTTTAAAACAAATACGTTTAATAAAAAATCGCATCACAAAAATTTACAATACATTTTTGTAATAACAATATTACATTATATGTATATGAAAAATGCTATAATATATGCTTTTATATATTATTTTCTGTTACAATAATTTTGTTGCTATGTTTGTTGTCATTGTATATGTGGTGTGTTTAAAAATTTTCAATGTATTATATATTCTTATATCCTGTGAATAAACAGCACTTTTATATTGTCAACTTTTATTATTATGATATCCAGTAATAAATAACGTGTATTTTGTATGAAACTTATTAACAAATTGAGCGGAAGTTTTTGAAATAAAAGCTTAGCGCCAAATATGTGACAATTTGTGACAAACAGTGCGTCAGTTGTCAAGAAGTGAACCTCAGAGGAATCACTTGTCTGTCGTGTCAGTGAAGTGACAAACCATTGGTCCGATTGGTGATCACCTGAAGACTGATCCAACGATATCGCATTGACAGCGAATGTACGATAGAAGTGGTGATAACAAGTAGTTTTGTTTATGACCACAACCACAGCCACTCGTCCAGCAGATCCAATAGCACTCGACTGAACGCACCCAACATTTACGCCAGTCATACCAGTCATCAGTCATCAGCAGACACTCAGTGGACCAGTGATTGGCGTCAGAGAGCCCGCAGTCTGTCCAATGTGTTGAGCGCATCCCAAACCAATGGCAGTGCTATACATGTGCCACAAATGCACTCCACTTTCGAACTCTCAGTCTCTCCCGACTCCGACACTTCAACTGAAGACAACCTCCCCTTCGGTCGTATCTTCTCTGCCCATTCATTGCCCGTTCAGTTGATTTCATTAAATGGTATGTCTATTCATGTCTTGACTGTCATGTCATTACTCTTATTACCATATTTGCCACTATATATCACTCAATTAGATCCCATTTCACAGCTAATTGTCTACTATTTAGAAGTTATATAACAGTAAAGAGTCTATTAATGTAGTTATTATTAGTGTATGTATTGTGTTATTAATATTTATATGTCTTATCAATGAATTGGTTATATTTAATGAGTTTATGCAAACAAATGACTAAATATAAAGTGTTTTCAACTCAAACACAACACCTATTAGAGAGACAATTGTTTAATTGAATTGAAGATTAGATTTTTTTATAAATGAGTTAATCCATAATCAAGGAACGGTTAAGTGATATGTTTGTGTTGTATTTGCTTTACGTGTCAATTGCATTCAAATACATATCTATTTTTAATTGTTTAATCAAATCATTTGTTTTAAACTTTCAGATAATTGACACCATCGACGGAATATCAATCGTCAGACTTCATATTTGGACAATTCTTGAGACACTCGACACTGCCATCAATCTGTTGCTCACACTTGTCAAGACATACATCCAGTTTAACCAATGATTTGAAACTTTCAAACGAATCCAACGAAAGGCTCACATCAAAACCATTGCAAAGAATTTCGAGATCAAAATTCTTGAGCTGTGAACAGCCGGTGGCTAAACATATAATCTGATCGTTGGTATTGCCATCACTTTCATTGGTCTCATTCAACAAAATCACAAAATTGAGTTCCTCTAGACTTTCAATGCGTGATATATTAGTGATTAAAGTTTTCGTATGGCTTGCATTCAATTCATGCAAATAAAGACTCAATTCTTTCAATACGTGACTCTATTTTGTGGCCAATATTTGCGATATGTTTAGAGTATTAGCCGTTAATCGAAAGTTATATAACACTTGAATATTTGGCAAAAAGTTCTCATTTTCAGTGATCAGAGCAATGGTGTCCTGAATATACAACTTCTTAGCTTCGGGACAAAATTGGAAAAACTTTTTCACAAAATTGAGCCCAAACTCCGAGTTATAAACTCAACCACTTCTAACTGGTGCCCCACTTTGTGGCCAAACTCCAGAACACTTCTCATTGACACCCATTTTATCTATTTTAAAACTTTTGAGTTGTGGACAAAACTATTATTTGCATCACCTCTTCGTCACAATAGCAGCTAAAATAGATCTCTTCGATGGTCTGACATTTTCAGAGAATTGATCTCAAATGGCGTTTATTAATGTATTTATAGCCCATCCCTGAGGCCTCACCGATGGTGTAGTCCGTGACAGTGAGGGCTCGGAGTAAACCATTGAGTGAAAAGTAATGATCTCCCTCTTCATGGCTCTCCAGATAGAGTTCCGTTCGCTTCTCGTAAACAAAACTTTGCCATAACTTAGACACCGATTCAAAGCGCACGCTATCACCGAATCTCAAGAACGACAGTATCTTTTGGGTGATATTCTCGTCAAACCTGTCGAATGAATATCTGTGGACAGGCGTATGAGTCATCAACAGCTGATCCATTGGCAACATATTCCTTAAGTTCTGGTTCACACATTTGATTATAACAAATACAATTATGGATCAGTTGCTGACTGGCCAACATTTACGGTGAAGATCTGATACAAAATTGTTGTGTTTTTGATTGTATCAATTGGTGTCTCAAATGTGTGTCAATTGAAGTCAAAGTAATTGTTTTTAATTATGTGATATATTTAAAGTTTGTGATAAAAATAGTCAAGTTTTGTAATAAGGTGTAATAATAATTGGTTTATTTGTGAAATAATGGCTGAGAATCTGAAATTAGATGCCATTCAACGGAGGCTAACAGCCAGTGATGGCATATTCTTAGACAAAGTTTATTTTGAATGTAAATACTGTGACAAAAAATATTTTTGTGATATAAGGCATCGGAGCCGAACCCTCAAAAGACATCTCAATACTAAAAGACAATGTTTGCAAACAATTGAATCCTAATAAACAAAAGATAACAAATGATATTAATCGAGAGATCACCAAAGTTTATTGTGATCATAATATACCATTATATAAATTGAGTGATAATAAAGTGAAAAGTTTTGAACAGAGACATGAATTGCAACAGATTCAAAACCATACAACTCTTGCAAAGACTTATCGCCCAAATCTATATATTGATTACATTAATCACATTCAACACACAATTGATGGCACACCAAATTATATAATAATTGATGCTTTTAAAAGTAATTAACATATCGTTAATGTGATATGTGGCCTTCTTAATGGAGGTCCACAAAACTCATTTCTATTTTATTGTGATAAACTTGA